TAAAACGATTTCCTATTTTGCTACAAAAACATCATAGAAACCTAATAAGTTATATTAATTGTCATAACTTAAAAGTTTATCTACACACACAAGTTAAAATGATATTTCTTAACCCCAAATCAAAGACTTTACAATTCCTCTGATCACAAGAAAAAAATACATTTATGTTTCAAAGATGCTTCTGAATTAGCATCAGTAATATCAGCTGTAGCTAAAGATCCAAGTGGGCTATATGTTAAAAAAAATAACCTTCTTATAACCTTGTTCCAGCATGGAGGGGAGCAAATTAGAAAAGATGGAGGAACAAAAGTGTTGGTAGAACATTCACTAAGATGTTGTTCCCCTGCCCCAAGATTGAAGGTATGATGCAGAAAACAACATAGACTTAGAGAGCATCATTGCTTGCTGCATGCTATGAGATGGAGTGCAGTGGGGGAAGCACCTAATGAAAACACAGAATCCAGTGCTGACATGGTTGGGCAGGGACAAGAAGGCTGAAGAGCTCCGCAATGGGAAACAGAACTTCCTCCACATTAACTTAGATGCTGTGGTCGAAGTCCTGATGCCCTGGCTTCAGCTGCACCCAATTCAGTCTGTCCCCTTTGCCACTCATGAATCCAAGGAGTAGAGAATTACGGTTGAAGGCTTAGGACTCTATTATCCAATTCATGAAATAAAGCAGCAATGCATGCAGACTCATTAAAAAGCGTGACATCTATCTGCAAAGCACCCTAAACAGATGTTTACACCACATCAGATTTGGTACTGAAGTTTCACTAGCATTCCAACCCTGGGATGGGATTTTACAATTACGGAGTCACCATGCAGGTCTTTCCAGTTTAAAGACAAACACCTGTGATAATGAACAAGTTTCAGCACAACCTCAGGATATGGGATCAAGCCTAAAAAATGCTGAGTAAATGACTTGCCAAATGAGTCAAGTGTTCACCAGCCATTTGATTGCTAAAATTTTCAATATTATTATTTATCATTAGATCCAAAAGAACTCTCAAGTTTCTCAGTAGTCCAGAAACCTTATAAAGGAAAGTAAAGCCTGGTTTTACCAGTTTGCATAGAACCAGGTATTTATCATACTGGTCCAACAGGTTCACCTACGCCATGTTCCTAAACAGAAAGCTAAAAATCCCTATAATTCAGATGTCACAGAGCTCTATTTCAGGAAGACATGTACAGTTTTTGTTTCAGGAAGAGCATCTAGAGGGGAGAGGGAAATATGTGCAGGCCTACTCACACAATTTTTTATTCAGAGCTCACAAGCCTGTCTTCCCAATACCATCCTAATAACCATTTTGGGTTAAGTTCATAGGAGAAAAAACAGCAGTTTCCGAAATGACCACTCTTGGACCTTGTTCCTTGGATTATTTTTCAACAAGATGGCTTGATATGAGAATAAAAGTAAAAGAATGGTGATGAAGATGGTTTACTTTCACCACCAAGTAGCCCCCAAAAGGATCCTTCATTCTCCTTACCGAATCCGATGGTCTTCAGTATTTACAATAGTGCCATTTTCTTCAGCTATTTTCTTCAACATGTATGAGGAAAGGAAGTGGAAGCCAAACTTTCCAGCAAGAGACCAAGTTCATCCTTACCACAAGAAAACTGGTCGCTGGCAACATGACCATGGGCAATGGCTACAGTGATGGTCTGAAGCCACTATGAACTTGGGTAATTTACAAGATAACAAGTCAGTCATACCACCTCTGAGGCTTGCCTATAATTCCTCCGCTGATTTTTATATCACCGACATATTCTGAAGTGCTCATGTTTTGCTGGAAGCAAATATCAGCAGTTAAGGAGGGTGTTACACTGACAAAGGAAACTGAACTATTCATCACCAAATGCTTTCACAACTAATGCAAAGATGGGGCAACATTTTCCATATGACCCGCTATTGTTTTGTAGAGGTGAAAGCAAAAGGTGTGAGAGAAGGGAGATTTGTTGCTCAGTCTAAGTACAATGAACTGGGACAGCAAAGAAAATTTTGCATAATTAAGTGGTAGGTTGAGTTATGCCAACTTGTTAACTATATAGTTAAGTTACTCCTGCACCAAAGCCACTGCATGCACCAGGAAGTAACTTATTTTCTATTTACAATCTCAGCCACATATGGGGGGCTCATTTGGCATCTAGAAAGATATAAGATATACCTGGTAGTCAGGTAAACTGGCAAGCCTATTCTAGGGCTGCAAATAGAGGCATTAAAGTAACTCTGCCAACAAAATGGAGGGATTCAGCTGCCACAGAGGAGCTACGAATATTCTACTGGCAAAACTTCCAAGTGCCTTGGCATGCAAAAGTTTTCCTGTGGCAATAGGCCCACCCCTCCCCAACCCTGTCTGTGCTGTAGGTTAACCAAAATTCTGCAGGGTACAACAGGGTCTGCTTAGCCTATGGAAGCTATGTTAAGCTGTTTCAGTAGCTTCCAGACAAAATGCAAACACTTGCTTGACAGATTAATTGCTTCTGCTAGGACTCTGAATTAGAATGCAACACACTTCAATGATGTACTAACAGAGGTACAAACAGAATGCCCAGTGTTCCAGGAAAAAATAGTAGGGACATTTAACTCATTTGAAATAAGTCTCTTTCTAATAGAAACTAACAGGATTTGGCAAGTGGTGTATGCTGTTTGCACAAACTGAAATGGCTGTACGGGTTACTTGTGTGCATCTCAGGCAGTTTACACTATACTGCTGCCATCCGCTCTGATGTCAATTGCAGTTGTAACAAGATTCAAACACATGAGACAAAACTGTACTATTATTTCACAGGCCAGCTAACATGCCAGGAAGCAGCAGCATTTTCCAGAGAATTTAGTGCAAGATTCTCAGCATATCAGTATGATTATAGTGAACAAGAAAAGGCATTGAGTTATATAAAAGTGCTAAAAAGCACACCGTGATTTGCAAACATAGATACCAAGGAATCATACACATTCCAGCTTCAGCAGGTCAAGCACACTGGGGATGCCTGTCCTGCGTGCCTTGACTCTCCTCCCCCACCCCACCACTTAGTGCATGACACACTGCCATGCCCCTTTATTTCTGGTACTATCCATCACACTTATGCCAGAGCCTCTGGCATTTAGGGAAGATACATAGTCTCCCATTCTCCTCTTCCCCTGCCATGACAGGGGGCATCTGCATCCCCATTTCTCTCCTATCCTCCACACCCTGCCAGGTTGGTCCCTGCCCCCTCCACTACATGCCAAGTGCTCTGTACCCCCTGTGACAGCTTCTGAGATCCTGGTTACCCCCCCTCAGGAAATTGCTCTCCCTTCACCACTTCAGACTACAGATGCCTGTTTCCTTTATGAGAACGTGTGGCTTCCTGATCTGCCCATCCCTACCCTTCCCTCCTCTAAGGCTCCTGTTTTCCCTATCACTAGGTCCATTTAATAACTTAATTCCAGATCCATACTTCCCCATGAACTTCAAGGCCCTTACCCTCCGTTGCCCCATCCCTCCGATACTCTCTACTCACCCTCAGCCAACAATGTTATACCCCCTCAATTTTCCACTTGAGTTCCCCCTTCTATTTCTACATACTCTACATGTAAGGCTCTCATTTCTGTTAGCATACAGGCATAGAAAGACTTGCTCTCCATTCAGCATGTTCAACCACTATTTTGGATGTTCAGGCAACACAAAGCTTCTTTGTCTATAGCACCAAGCAGTCTGTGAGCCCCGATTTTCTCCTTGTCATCACAATTACTAAAATTCTGCCCACTGATATCTAGAATGTAGCCTGAAATTCTGGAAATGATGGGATACAGATTTTAAAAATTACCAGCATATATCAGACAACCAAATGCTGTGAAGCTCAATGTAGGACCTTGCTTTGTTGTGCCAATTATCTATCCCCATTTCATGGGCAAAAACTGAGGGAGAGATGAGGCTGAGTAACCTGCAGGTAAAGACAAAAATGATTGTACTGAGCCATAAAGCAGATAGGATAAGAAACCAGGTCTGCTGATTTTCAGTCCCACACTCTAAGCACATCATGATAGCTCTGCTTTACAGTACCTGCATCTATCCACTGTCTTTCCAGGTTTTACCGATGGCTTAGATCATTGGTTGGCAACCTTCTCAGGCAGCAGGCAAAAATGACCCAGTTTGAGTCAGAGATGCGCAGGAGCTAGGACCCAGAACCACCACTGTTTCTTTTTGCTGTGGCATGGGGGAAATACCCACTGCCACTGCTTCTCCCCACCACAGGGGAAACCCTCTCCCCACACTGCCAAATCCCATGTCCACAGGTCAGTGGTAGCGGGTTACAGGTTGCCATCCCCTGACCTAGACAAAACTTCTCAGGCCTCTATTATACTTAATCCTAAATCAGAAAATTCTACTTCTGTTCCACTCCTTAGATTGCTAAAAATTGGTAGGAAGTCCCAGTGATCACAGAAGTAAAACTAGATGTACTGGTAAGCTTATTGTTTCACAAATCACTGCTGTAGATCTGCCTGTTTAACAACACAACCAGACTTGCCCACTGCTCTTAGAAGAGCAATCTCTCAATTTCCCCCTTTTCCTCAGGACATAAAAAAGCAGCATGTACTTCATAGCCAAAACCTGATAAATGATCTCAGGATTTCCTCTTATATCTGTTGAATTCTACCCAGGAAGAATTACACTTGTGTTTGAGTGCATTCATTATAACTTGAGCTTAAAAACTGTGTTCCAAGTAGCGTGGAATCTGACATCTGCCGTGAGAAAATATCCGCTTAAAACAAACTATTCATTGAGACCTTGGTCCTCTTGTCCAAATGCCACCATACTGCACACTGACCAATAATCACATCTCCTCTACTTTTGTTCACGCCTGGACAAGCAAACAGACAAAACCTTGGCAATAGTACAAGTATTCTCTAACAGTTCACTTAAAACAAAAACTGTGTGCTAGTTACTACAGCCATCTGTTTTCAGATTTTGTTTGTGGATCATTATATCTATAGTAGTTAATTGCACAAGACATACCTCTTTGGGCAAAGACGTTAATTTGTTTCTGTCGGCATTCAAATTATTCAGCTTCTTTAGCTTTCCAGTGCTCTTCGGCAATGTCTGTTTCAACAAAAAACAAAGCAAAACATGAACAAGCATTAGAGCCTCGCCATGTCAAAACAAAAGTTTGCTTCACTTTGAAAAAATAATTGAGAGGTCCCTTTCTTGGGCTGCAACCTGTGAACCTCCTGGTTGCAAATGGAAGCAGATTTTGGCCCAAATGTTTTGTTTCAGTTTCTAAATGAAGTGAACTTAAATTGTGACAAAATGATCTTTCAGGCAAAATATAAAAGCATTAAATATTCTTTGAAGAAAGAATGATGAACAACACCAAATAGTTCCAGTGTAACTGCACCTTGAATTGTATTTCCATTCAACATTTTCAGCATTAAATGGGTGGCTGGAACAACTCATTAACACCACAAGGAACAACATAACAGCAACTTCACAGTATTTTGGTTTGCAGTTCAACTCCAACAGAGTCCATCAGATATATGCAGTAGGAGCTAGCATCAAGGGAACATGACAAACTTCACACCTAACACTATATCTAACAAAGTAAAATTTTCTGCACACCAGACCTCCTCATTTGCTCATTAATCATAAAAGAAATCAATTGAACACTGAAGTGCATAACATCAGTTGTAGTGGTAACCCTCTCTGCACCACATCAGAACCTTCAGTATCCATCCAGAGGTAACGTGCATTTATGGGAAACTCCCCTGTATTGTTTTGAGCAGCAGTAAAAATAAAGGAAAATAAAGACATTACAATCAGAAGGACAATGTATAGCAACAGTCACTTGACCAGGCCAACCATACTCACCAGCAGTTGGTTTTCTGTTAAAACTAGTTCAGTAAGGCTTTCACAGTCTCCAATTGCTTCTGTCAGCTGAGTAAGTCTGTTCTGATCAACCTTCAAGATGGATAGTTTCTTTAATTTTCCTGCATATAAAAGGCAGCATTTTACCTTGTGTAGCCACAGTTACACATTAGAGATGTGCTGCAATAATGTAAGTAAGTGGATGGATAAGCAATAATGTTTTTAAAAGTATGATAGGGCTCTCTTCAACAGTTAACAAAGAGAATTACAACACTACCCTAAAGTTGGTCTATACATCTTTTCTACAAAGAAAAAAAAAGCAATTGTGCTGTAAACCTGGGAAGAAAACCTCTCTTTAATAAATTCCATTAAAGCCATAATTGAAAGGTGTTCTTGGGAGAAAAGAATTTCCGATTATATTTCATGAATCTGCCATTTGACATAGAAAGTTAAGATATGTGCGTTTAGCAATAGGAAATCTTTTGACATGGGGAGAATGCAGCATAAAATCAAATAAGAGTCTACTTTTCAGAATCCAAAAAGTAAGTGTGAACTTGGGAGGGAAGGGGGCAAAGGAGACAAATAAAAAGTATTTCCTGATCGATATACAAAGAAGTTTAAACATAAAACTAAAACTCAGATACTAAAAACAAATGAAAGCAGTACTGAAGTTGCACTAATCAATATATACTCCTGTGAGTTAAGTACAGGATCCTTGGTCCACTTTAAGATGCCTTTAACTACCTGTTTTCTTTTGAATGAGACCACTATATTTGTACATGGTAGCATATTTATAGAATGCATTCTTATCCTGAAAGTGAGGATATTAAATCCTTCATCGTATTCATTGTATGAATATAGATTACTTATTTGTATCCTTTTATGAACATCAGTACAAAAAGGTTTTAAGCCCAGCCTGTCTCTCATGATTTATCATTTTAGCAGGCCATTGAACTCACACTATAAAAAAGGGACACAGGAAAGCATGTCACACTGGTAAACTAGATAGAGACAAAAGTATATTTTCTACTCCTGTGGATACACCAAACACTGAAGAAAATCCCAATAATGCCACATGTTGTGGTAAATGCCACAAGTGTCTGAAATCTGCACATCAGCCTCACAGTCTATAACTGGTACCTAAAATAATCTATTTGACATGCACTGCATTTTAAAAATAAACTTTATTAAAATGATTACTCAGGCACCCAACTATTATTACTAATATTAGCTTATACTGAGGTAGAACCCCCATCAGTTAGCTGCTGTACTAACTAGCTGCATACTGGCCAAGTCACCAGTGCTTCCGATGAAAAAGATACATTTAAAATGATAGGGCCAAAACTTGAAAAGAAAATCATTCAGGAATGAGCTGGGGCCCTGTCATTCTCAAAGAGCTGTGCCAGTCACAGTAGCTACGCACACAGACAGCCAGCTAGTGCAAGCACTAAGTGCTGGTCTGCATCTTTGGGTCTGGACAGGTCTTCCTCTGGTGTACAATCTTTTCAGCCAAACCGTTACTACAAGAAGGGTACAGGGTCATATATTTAAAGAGAGAGGCTGCCTGCAGACGTTTTAAAAAATACAAACCCAAAAAACAAAAAAACAGAGCTTTAAACCCAGTTCCCACACTGTGCCCAGCACATGCCCAAAACAGCCAGTTGGACCTGGTTTACCCAATATCTGTATGGTTCAGGCACTTTAGTGAGGTTTTTTTGGCACTCTTATCTAATTGCTGATTGAATCAGCTTTAGCTAAAAGAGCAAAAAAGCCCCACTGAAGCACTCGATCTATATAGACACTGTGGAGCTGGATCGAAGCAATGCACTATTGCTTCTGGTAAAGTGAGGTTTTTTGTTTGCTTGTTTGTTTTATTTTTTTTTAATGTCTGCAAATAGCCAGAGTCTGGCCTCTTCTGCTCCTTTGTGCTCCACACCATAAGAACCTATGCAAGTAGGAGCAATCCCAGCACTCTAACCTGTGCTTTAGTAGGGGCAAAAGATAGTGGGGGTCATTACTGTCAATTCACATCCCCTCTCCAAGACTCAGCAGGTCAGTAAAGCACTAAGCCTCCACGGGCCTCTAAAAGGGAGGTGGATCTATAGGTAGAAACACTAGAGGAGGGGTTTTCAATCTTTTTGGGTCACTGTATCTCTGATGGCCAGTCAACAAGGCAGGAGTCCCCCGGCAGCCAGACAAGCAGGGGGAGAAGGGAGTCCGCCAGCGGCAGATTGGTGACCGGGCAGGTTGGGGGGTAGGGGAGGTGTCCCCTAGCAGCCAGTTGAAGAGGCACCCACTGCCGAGGAGTTCCCCATGAGGCCATCAGAAGTACCCCCAGCAGTATGCATACCCCTGGTTGAAAACCCCTGCACAAGAGGATTCCTCTGGCTCCCCTGAAGACAGGTGGGAGAGAGGCTGTGTAATACAGGCAGTCCTCAGACTTACAACACAATTGGTTTCTGAAAACCGCGTCTTAAGTCGAAATGTTGCAACTCGGAACCAATTTTCTCATAAGAAACAATGTTATAAATAGGGGATTGGTTCCTGAACCAAGGCCCGATACTGTATTTTCACCAAAAATACCCCAGAATTTTGTACTCAATCAATTATAGATGAGTAATACAGCTACAGTAACACATTTATATTGTAAATAGCAATCATATTGATTTAGAAAGACTTTTTTCAGGTGACTTTGCTGGACTTTTTGAAAGGCTCTTGGTTGACTTTTTGAAGGGTTCTTGGCTTTAGGTTTTTTTGGAGTCTTGTCTGCTTTCTTAAAGAAAGTGTCCAAGGAAGTTTAGACAGATGTTCTCCAGGGAGATGGGTGGCGCAGCGAACTTGTTTGCTGGCATGGCGTCATATCAGATCAAGCCTTGTAAAGTTGAAACTGATGTCAGAAAGTTGAAACAGGATGTCAATTTATAAATGTTAAGTGCAAAACGTTGTCACTCGAAACGTTGTAAGTTGAGGACTGCCTGTATGTTGTGAAGGAAGTGACCTTTACGGAGGAGCAAGAGAGGGAAGAGGTGGGGGGAGGTTGACCCTGGGAGATTTTCACAGGAAATTTTATTATGGTGCTAGGTGGTAGCCTGAATGCAGGCCAAGGATTTCGCCAGTCCTATTTTACCATGCTCTGTTGTCAAAGCTCACTTTTTATTTTTCTATTTGCTCTTCCTTGTAATAAGGTTTTTTTTCTTCTGTTACTTTACCAAAGTGCCTGTGATACATAGTAATTTCTGTGCAAATTAATAACCTGGGAATATCCACTCAGCAGAGTGGGGGACCACTAGGCTTACTGCTTGCGCATTTTATTAATCAGTCGTTGGATAAAATGCATAAATGTTTGGAGTAGGTAACTAAACCCAAGACTCCTCCCCTTTGTAGATGTGTGAACTAATTACTGGACAGAGGGCCCTGTCACTAAGCAGAGTGCAGCAAGCCAAGCCTGCTGTGTGGGGCTGCACCAAAGGAGTGCCTGCTGGCCATTGGACAAAGGGGAGACCCCTGTGTGTGGCTGGGGAGGCATGTGACCAGAAGAGGCGAGGATTAGAGACCTATAAACCCAGGGCCTGAGGCAAAGCATAGAGGCTGGCCCAGCATAATATGGAGGAAGGAGCTCCTGGGTGACAGGAGCTTCAGGAAACAAGCCCATGGATACCCAAGCTGCTCAGAAGCAGCTAAAGGGGAAGTATGGCTTGCGGTGTGGTACTGACCCGGACTGGGGATAAAATATCATTTGGGAAGCAGTTTGCTTATATTTGTGTTATGTTTTTCAACTCAGAGGCCTAAATTCCATTATGGTCCCACTTTAGATAACCAAATGTTTTTGCAGACCCAGCCTCTTTTACTAAATAATTGAGTTCTTACAGTATTCTAAATTTTGGAATTTTACAGTATTCTAAAAATCATCCCCAGTGATTTGGTATGTATAGCAGAACACTGGAAACAGACTAATGATCTTCAGATAGTAGGTGTCATATGTTGTTCACCAAATTAATAATAATTTTTACCTACATCAATACTACAGAAGTAGTAAATGTATTTGAAATGTAAAGGACTGACAAGGGATTGCATATATTAAATATTTTTAAAACTGCGAGAGAGTTTCATGTCTTACAGAATATTTCTAAAGCCATTTAGCATACATCCACTGCCCATTCAGACAAAATCAAGTATTTGCCTGTTAATATATTCACTTTGTACTTACCAATGCCATCAGGTAGCACCTCAAGTAAATTCTGAGAAACAAGCAAATCTGTTAAGGAAGTCAGACCACTGATCTCTTCAGGAAGTCCTTCCAATTTATTTTCAGAGACATCCAGACATAGCAGGTTTTTCAGGTTTCCTATTTCCTGTTATGTTAAGACAAAAAATAAATCATGTCCCAACATGCCACAATTTTTATAGAAATGTCCAGAAAGAAGTCAGGAGGAAGATGAGGCCTTTTCTTAATACTGAAGGGAAAAAAAACAGCTTCTTTTGTAAACACAAAAGTGGTTCAACACCAAAACGAAGACAGCAACACAGGCTAGAAATTTCAAAGCTGCTTCTAGCCACACCAATATGTATTTAATAGGTACCACAGGAAAAGAGTATAGTATAGTATAGTATGAAGCAGCAACCAAAAATGAGTTTTTTCCCCCCAGGGAAGGTTATGAAGTTGTTTTTTCAGAACTACAGGTCTCAAACCACACATAATTAAATATGCCCTTACCAAGTAAGGTAATGTAAATGGCGCTGAGCCCTTCCTGGATGACAATAAAAATTTATGGAATACCTAAATATAGGTAGTTATGGCATCTTTAGATCTCCCTTCACAAGTTTTGGAACAGGATTCAGAAGTGTTGCACTAGCAAAGCAACAAGGCCCTAAGAAATTACACTGAAAGTCCTCAGTTATTAACAGTTACTTAGTTTTGACAGTGATAATTTGTCGGTTATATAGTTTATTTAAATATCTGATTGAAAAAAACATGACACCTTTTATTTTTATACTATTCACAGATGTACACCCTACTTGATTGTACACCTACACACATTCTGTGAACAGCTAAGAATTTTAATCATGAAAATATTCAACAGTGCTGAACAAACAGCTGGAAAAAAGACAAAAACAATAGAATGGCTTCCATATACCTTCATGTATAAAAATCAACTGTGATAAGATCACACCAAAACTAAAGATCAATGCTGTTATTCAGCAGAGATAACTATTTTTAAATACTGAGTATTGAATTATGTAAATACAGATGCTAACCATCCTTAGCATTTGTTTACTGTATATTAAAAAGGTGTATTAATTATGGCTAGTGCAGAAAAATGTCTGCTGAGCCTCACATGTCCACAGAAGTTCTAATATTGCAGAGTCTAATTGGATCCTCTTATACATTCTCATTATATCTAGTTGGTAATGGCAAAAAGGTCAGAGTAATCAGCAGAGCTATAACTAACATCTAAATCAGACTGCAAATCAATGTACAAAACAGTCTTCAAAATTTCCACTCCACTCTGTGGATTTAGTACATAGAATACAAGCCTGTGAAAAAAGAGCAAGCAAAAGTTCTGATTTTTTTACTTGAATGTTTAAAAAACCTTGTTTTCACTATGCTTAGAAAAGGAAGGATTCCAGGTACATTTGCAATACTATATCTCCTCATTCCAAAACTGAAATCAGTCACAGACTTGCCTACATGGATCCAGTTGCAGGATCAGATTTCTCAACTTCTAGTTTTAGAGGGAGTTTTATTATCCTTTTCCCCCTTATACAATGCATTTTGAACAGCAGAAACAAACAAAGTTTGTGTGTGAACTCAACCCTACGGATGTTGAGTTCACACACAAACATCTAGTGCATCTAGACAAGTGTGAAAAATAAGGTTAATTCAAGATCATGTTCTAAGTAGTGGTGCACTACTCCCTGAGCTATGAGCCTTAAGATCCTGGCAGCCATTATAGCTGTGGCATAATCAATGTGTTAATAGAACTACAAAAACTGTAACATGCCACACGTTGAACCAATTTACAGCACAATAGAAAGGTAAGCTGACCAAAAAGATATTCTACATTTAACATGGATCATCTCCACAGCTGGTTTGTATCATGCTTTAAATTGAGAGTGTGCCATGTCTCATACCCAGTCCTGACAATCAACTGATGTTTGAGATGGGGCACAGGCAGCCCCAGAGTCTGGGACAGATGCCTCATACCCAATACCTGGAATGAGCCATGGGGCAGCCCCAGGCATGGGACCTGGGGCTCTCCCCTGCCAGATCCCTGGATAGGTCCCTGACATCATGCTTCCTTTGAAGGTCTAGACATCAGGATTGGGATCTGAGGAATTTTATTCCCCATCCCAAAAGTTGTGTGTCATGCCATTCAGATCTGGAATGCCAGGACACAATTTTTGGGATCAAGCAAAAAATTCCTGAATCAAATCATGTAATCATATTAAAGTCTGCCAAGGGCCTTAATACTGAGCCTAACTGATTTCTGGAAGAAGAAAATATTCTGTCAGTATGTGGCCACTTTCTCCAATGCTTTACAAGCATCTAATAGATTTGTCACAGCATCCTCTAGAGTTGAGAGGTGGGATTAATGAGCAGATATCCTAATGGTATTCTCCATACTACATAACAAAACTCTAATAGATTGTATAATTTAAAAATTTACAAGGAATGAAAAATAATTTCTCTTTTGTTTACAATTTTCACTTTTACTACACAAGAAAAGCTTTTAACTAGATAAAACTACTTTTAAAGACAAAACATATCATTAAAACTCTGCCTTACCTGAGGTATTTCGGATAACTGGTTTCCATCCAACCAGAGATCCTTAAGATTGAAAAGTGCACCAATGGTTTCTGGCTGCAACAGTTAATCAAAAATAAAAGAGTATTAGTACTTATAGGCATGTAGGTTGTAGCCGTGTTGGTCTACGGACATAGGCAGACAAAGTTTCTTGGGTGAATCTGATATCTTTTATTAGACCAACCCAAATAGTTGGAAAATAATTATTAAGCAAGCTTTCGGATTCAAAAACCCTGCGTCAAGCTAAGGAAGTTTCAGCAGTTGGTGTGTGCTCTTCCTGGATGGAATGAAAAGTAAAGAAGCCAGCAGCTGGGCTGGTATGCATACAAGACAGATAGTCAGTGAAAATGTAGATTGAGGAGTCAATGGATGAGAGAGAGGCCGGGGGCGGGGGAGAAGGGGGATGAAAGTGGAGAGATACCTGGGGAGTCAGATGTCAGACAGGTTATAATGTGTCATAAATCCAATCTCTATATTTAGTCCATGATTTTTAGTACCCAGGAGGTTGATGAAGTGGAGTTCATAGACTCATATCTGGGAAGTGTTTTGTAAGTTTCCTTTGAGGATCAGGACTGAGAGATTGGAGAGAGAGTGGTTTTCTTGTGAGAAATGTGCCCCCACCGGTAATTGGGTATTTCTGTCTTTGACAGATTTCCAGTGTGCATTCATTCTGGTGCAGTTGTTGTTTGGTCTCTCCTACGTATTTTCCATCAGGGCATTTGGTGCATTGGATGAGGTATATTACATTTCTGGAGGTACAGCTGTAAGATGCAGGGATGCTGAAGGCTCTGTTGTGGGGTGTAGTAATTGTGGAGGTGGTGGAGATGTGTTGGCAGGTTTTGCATTTCTTGTCATGGTACGGTCTGGATCCTTTTGGTGTGTTCTGGGCTTGAGGAAGTTTGCTTCTGGTGATGAGGTTAGCGAGGTTTGGTGCTTGTTTGAAGGCTAGGATGGGTGGCTCTGGGAAGATCTTTTTAAGAATACCCTATTCTTAAAAAGGGTACCGAACCTTGCTAACCCTCCCCCCCCAGCCTGTCTCTCACCCATTGACTCCTCAATCTACATTTTCACTGACAATCTGTCTTGTATGCATACCAGCCCAGCCGCTGGCTTCTTTACTTTTCACTCCATCCAGGAAGAGCACACACCAACTGCTGAAACTTCCTTAGCTTGACGCAGGGTTTTTGAATCCGAAAGCTTGCTTAATAATTATTTTCCAACTATTTGGGTTGGTCTAATAAAAGATATCAGATTCACCCAAGGAACCTTGTCTGCCTATTAGTACTTATAGCATTTGAATAGATAGAAAATTTGCTACCCTGAGGCAACAGCCCCAAAGAAAAAGTGACCTGTTCCAAGTACTATTTGTAAAACCACACAGTTATAATTTAGAAAATGTGACATAGTATAACCACAAGTACTAAGATGTGTTCATTACATACATTGAAAGGAATCCAATGTGTCATTTAGGTACTTGATAAATGGCTTGGATAGGAGATTTAAAAACCCTTATGCTGGTGTAAATTACTTGAATCCAGTGTTGAATTACACCAGGAAAATTTTCATTAGTGTAAGATACACCAGTGTAGACATCTGTCCTCTTTCCATTCCACAGAAGCTATACAGTCAATGCAAACCAGATCTTATTTGCTCCTGTGCCATCCAGTGGCAAAGCACTACAGCAGTGCCCGATGCAAGCAGCAACCTGGAAATAGGACATATATCTATCTGCTTTGAGGTAAATTACACCATCTGTCCAAGCCCTCAAACTCTGTGTTAGGCCAACAAAACCTGTAAAGGAGGCCAATAAAGGAGGTGGAAGTGATGCAGTCTCAGATATTTTAATGCCCTCACCAACAAGGGAGAGATCAGTGTACATCTTCAAGTGACAATTCAGGGCTCATTATACCACCACACTAACAGAACACATTCAAATTACTGATAAAAGCCAGCCACAATAATGTTCAAGATTTCATCTGGAACATGTTTATGGCTAGTTTGTTATTTTATCACACCATACATTGGCTGAATGTGTGGCACATTACAATTTATTGCACAATTAAATAAATATAACATCTGGCAGAGCACCCAACCACATACATACTTCAGATTAATAATTTTGTGTGCAGGTGTGTATATCTGTGTGTATAAATACACACCGAATATAAAGTTTCCATAATTATCATTGCTTTTACTTTTGGAAATTTCTGCTCAAGATATTTCAGTTCCAGAGGACAGGGATAACAGGTTATCAATAAAAATATTCCATTGAAAACATATCTTACTAAGTGAAAGAGCTCATTGTTTCCTAAATCAAGTTCTTCTAATCTCTGTAGCTGGGCAAGAGATCTGTAGGAAGAGACAGAATGAAATAATCATGTTAGACAAAATCATCAGTAACCCTAAATATTTGAACCTATATTGTCACAAGCTATACCCTGAATTCAAACACATTCTAGAAAGCATTTTATTGGTTATTTTATTCACATTAAAATAATACTGTAGAACAGTGGCTTAGTCATCATAACTTAGTGCCTTTGAAACATAAATCTTACTATAAAGCAATCAGACCACTGCCCATATTTCTAATCACCAGTCTGTGCCATGGTCTATACCATGGATAGTTGCAGTCAGATGAAAGCCTCCACAACATATCCAAAACAACTGCACAATTGAATGAACAATTCCACAGAGATCATATGAAGTAGTTTAACAAAGCACAAACTAAAAATAGACTTAGTCTGCCGGCTCACCAACAGGAAACAGAAATCCTTCCTAGTTGAAAAGCTATCAATTTACAAGGATAATTTCAGCTTGGATTTAAAAAGAATTCTAGCACTTAACAGCTTTACAAGAAGCCTTCTGAATGGATACAGCAGAACCTTCCTGACATCTCTAGAGCAGTTTGAACCTCTCCCCTATCTGCATCATTATAATAAGAACTGGACTGGTCAGTTTTATTACTGCTATTCATAACCCTGAGCAGCAGTAAATCTGAGATGAAAATGCAAAAGATTCAGAAAGCTGCAGATTATTAGATTAGAAAGCTTCAGAAAGCTGCAGGTAGCCCATTCTGTTAGCAGTAGCAGTAACCATGCAACTTAGATCTCTTACTCTCTGCATCAGTGGTATCAAACTCACCAGCTCCAATGTGTGGGATGAGGGACAAGGGGCCAACACACAGGCCAAATCGGGTCCAAAGACTGGCCCCACGCGCTCCAACTCAGCCCTGCCCCACATGTCACCTGCAACATGTGCCTGGACCACCCCCACGCACCACCTGTAGTGTGTGGGGCTGGGGCCACCACATGCTGCATGTAGCATATGGGGCCAGTCCAAGGTGTGCTGCATGCTGTGTGAGATCTATTCAGAGACCAACATGCAGCAACGTGGGCTGGACAATAGGGCTTTGTAGCCTGAATCTAGCCAGCAGGCCGTTTCTTTGACACCCACACCCTAAACCACATATGAAACACTGGAGTCGTGGGAAAGAAGGACAAAACTACACGCAGAACACTATCCTCCTGTTCCAGTAATGAAAGAGCAGGAAACCCCCAAAAGTCAGTGGTCTGCTAACTAGGGGCTGATGTAAGAAAAACAATTCCCTGAATGTGGTGAAATTGGAAATCCCAGCACTTTTCACAGCAGCTGAGAGTGGGATTTGATTGCTGGGATGTTGCTGGCAGGCCCACTTAAGTCTTTCATTTTGGCCTCTATTTAGAGGCTTTAATCTCCAATCTTTGTAAATCTTCTGTTAAATCATTCAGTCCCTAATATAGCTCTACACGGTTTTAGTACAATCCAAAATAAATGTTAAAGTTTTGAAGTATGAGGTTTTTATTAGTCCTACCCTCACTTGCCTGACTATTAATTATTGGTCCTGAAATGAGCCAAACCACCATTACCCTTAATTTTCACACAGAAGAGAACACATTTGTGTTAGGTTTCCAATACAGGCACTCCTCACTGAACGACCGAGTTCCGTTCCTGCGACTAGGTCGTTAAGCGAATTGGTCGATAAGCGAGGAGCCGCCCCTTGATACTGCGTGCCTTGGCTTGAGACGCCGCGCTGCCGTTTCCACGACCAAAGTTCTCATACTTACGACCAGTTCTCTCTGGTCTTAAGTCCGTGCGGTCGTTAAACAGGTAGGTCGTTAAGTGAGGAGTACCTGTACCAAAAACATTTTCTTCGGCTCTTGGAAAAATTCTGAGGATGCAAAGACGTATACAAAGCATACATGACCATATAACACATGCATGGCAACTTACTCAGGTAAATATGTCAGCAGATTTTCTCTGAGTTCCAATGAAGCCAGATTATAAAGGCTAAAAGGTAAAAATAAATTATCGTTACTTCAGAAGTTTGTTCAAATAATTTTAGAACTTAAAAAATAAAGGAGAAGCTATCCACAGTGAATTCCAGTGAAATGTAAAGAAAATAACTCTAAACTTTTGTCAATCTTCTTACACACACTTTATATAATCTTGTCACAAATTAAAACAGCATCTTTAGAGCCTTTTTCCTACTATGGTTAAAAACATTACAGCAAGAAATGAAACAAAGAAAATACAAAATTTCCATGGTTAGGAAGGTCAGTTGTATTAAGTTACTAAAACAGACTGAAAGGGGTTTGGGGTTTTTTTTTAGTTTTGTTATTGCAATATAATTTGCTTATTGGCTTTTAGGTTATGATGTGAGGGCTGCAGAAAAAAAGAGATGCAGCAGCATTAGTTACACTCCTCTTCTGCTATTTCTACCTTTCCATCCACAGTATTCTCATTAATGTAAGTGACATTATGCTTCTAAGCTGTTCAGACTGTATCCTAGGCTTTTGCTAATATCAACATAGTAACATTCAGATTTTTTCAGGGTTTTATTTATGACTAAATGGAAAACAAGGAGTCATACATTATCCCAACACTATAATCTGCTTTAATTCTTCAACATCCCAGGAAAAAAATAAAACCAGATACTGTGGTACAAATAGGAAAGTGGTTTTCTGAAGCTTGCATGTTCTTTCTTCACAGAGTACAAAAAGGTTTTAATTTTGTTTTCTGAAAAATGAAGGTGTTAAAAATGGTTTCTTTAAAGCTTCTAAGGCCTACAGAAATGCAATCAGTTTTAAAAATCCTATTTTTAATCAAGTAGTTTATTACAGTCAAACTCCTGTTAAGTAGGTAAGGGTCTATGCAATTGAATTCACATGTTACTATAAGGACACTACCAAACTTACAGCGTTCTATTTCTCCTTCAAAACAGTACAAGAAACAAATAATGAGTTATCCCCAACAGTAAGAAAGGTTTGGTACAGGAAACTGATAATGAGTTACTCCAACAGTAAGGAAGGTCAGTACTTTAACTGATTAACAAGAATGAGATTTTAGAATTTTAAGCTTCTTTTTCACTGTTGTAAAGTTACACAACTCCTGCAGTACATTACCAAAAGACATGGTAAATTCTTCACAGCAGGAGTCTGAATATCTTTTATAAAATACACTGTAATTAAGCACCAGTTACTGGGTTCTATACACTGCTGCCAGCTTTGGATTTCTTGGGCACAGTCCCAAGTGCAGTCCTTGCTGGCAGTGGAATTCTAGTTTCAAGAGAAAAAGTGTTATTTAACTTTTAATCTATAAAACCTAAACGAGAACATCATTCCAAACTTATTCAGATTGAGTATCTGTGGTTCCACTAACTGCAATAAAGAAAACTTCAAATTCACTGTTCTAAATAAGGCTTTCAGGTATTAATAAAAATTATTCTACAACATATTGTGTTCACATTATACATTCCCTCATAGAATGCAGACCATCTTCTTTACATTTTCAATTTGTGATACTAAATACACACTGGGCATGTCTACATGTACGCAGATACTTACTGCACAGTACTGTGCACCCATACTCTGCAGTAAATATGGTGACATACTGATTTGGGTGTAAATTTGATACCTGTATTATGCAGGTATCAAATTTACATGTGATTAGATATTGCACAGTAATGTATGTGTAGATGCCTTACTGTGCAGTAACACTGTCTGTGGACTGACTTGGGACTGACTTTAGTCCCAAATCAGTCCACACACAAGCGTTAATGCGCTTTAATGCCTGCACATAGATGCTGGCCTATTCCCACTTACTGTGCAGTAACTTTAAGCCAACGTAAATGCACGTGTAGACACGCCCACTGAACATTAAGACTTCAGCAAAATACTATTTCACTGAAACTTGTAATCTGATATTAGGTTTTGTTTTATTTTTTAATTCTTACCACAAAAAATGCCTTTTAGGGCCTGGATAGAACCTCTGAGTTCTAGGCAATAGCAAAACCAAGCTAAAGCGAGCAAGGGAGGCAACAACTAGAGTAATTACAATTTTTTCCTTTTAAACATTCCAGATGTTTTCTGGTTTGACGTATGGAACCAATTAGAACTTAAAGTAATTACATGGCTAAAAACACCCTTTTCACTAGAAACCAAACACTGACACAGTCCCAATGTCAGAACTCAGCTTAAATGCAACAGTTCCTCATCTGAGATCAAAAGAATCTGAAACTAAATAAAGATGTTAAGCTTTAAATGTTTATTTTAAAAACAAAGTAGATGCCATAAGTAGCTGATTAATCCTGTAAAATTAGGGTGTGTTGCTGAGAGAAGAGTACATTTTAATAGCTCCAATGAAGTCTTCCAGGGATGAAGGAGAACAGATCCACCTTCTTTCCAAAAGGGACAGTGTTGGACCAAGCAGAGTTTTGTAAAACAAACATTTCTCACATGACAATTTTACATACAGATAACCTCTATGCACAGCAGCATCAATTGAAACCATAAACCATGTCAGCGTGACTCTAATCTTATATTCTCAGGGACCAGAATGGAATTCACCTTTTGAAATTAGTGAATTGACCTAAAGAAAGTTTTTCACAAAGATAGACACTATACCTTGAATGTCTTGAGCTAGAAACAGCTTTGTCCTAGGATAAATTGCATCTGTGTTTGTCTTGGAATAAAAATATCCCAGGATTAGCTAGGATGGTCTAGTCAAGGATAATCCTACCTTGAGCAGGAGATTGGACTAGATGACCACATGAGTTTCCTTCTAGCCCTACTTTCCTATGACCCTATAGCCTCCAAACTATTTTCACAAAAAAGTGTGAACACTTCCTTTCTAAAGCTTTTCCATAACAGCCTTTGACAAACAGGTCTGCAAGGGTTGAGGTCTTACATAAGATTTCTTATGATCAGCTTTAGTATCCAACAGTAATTTCACCACAGAGAAGGATGTAGAACTGAATACCTCAATAGGTGTGCTTCCTACTTATATTTGGATTCTCTTCAGTGCACCCTTCCAGACATCAGCCTCTATCATTCAGAAACTTGCTGGGAGATCACATTCACACTGTCTACCTGTACTTATTCATCCAAAGAAATACTGTTCTTGTCAGGTTGTCTCTCCTCCCCCTCAGCCTATTGACAAGAGATACCAGTGACATGGCCAATTCATCTCATCTCATGGGGCTGCTTTGCTCCTACCCTAGTCCTAGAGGGACATACCTGTGTAATTTCCTCGGAACGCCATCCAGAGGGCTTACTCCTACTCTCGTTCCC